CCCGCCCCCGCGCTCCCCCAGCCCGGTTTCCCCCCTCCCTCTCCAGGCTCCGGGCGAACCTATCCCGCTCCCGACGCGAGCGCGTCATTCCTTACGTAGCAAAATATGGAGAAAGCAAGGAAAAAAAAAAAAAAAAAAAAGACGCATTTTTTCCCCTCCTCTCTCCCATCTCCATTTCCAAAAGGGACAAAATGGATGTTGGGGCGGAATCCGCCCCCCGTTGCAGCCGCCTCTCCCCGGGGCCCCGCTGGCGGCGGGGCCGGGGCTGCCCGGTGCGCCCGGGGCCGCGGGCAGACGTTCCCTGTTTAACCCCACGTAACGGCAACGTGATCGCGGGGGGCTCCGCTTCCCGCAGCCCGGCCGGGGCTCTCCGGGAGCCGCAGCCCCGCTGCCGGTGCCGGTTCCCCCCAGCCCCGGTGTGCCGGCGGCTCCCGCAGCCGCTGCCGCTAAGTCAGTAATGGACGCAGAGGTGCGGAGGGAGGTAAATAATCCCCTCCCCGCTCCCTGGGTTGGTTTTTTTATTTTCCGCCGCCGTTTTTCCTCCCTCTCCTTTGCCCCGCGCTGAACTCCCGGTGCCGCCGGTGCCGCCGGTGCCCCGGGAGGGGCAGGGCTGGGCGGGCACCGCGGCCGCCCCGCTCCCCCTCCCGCTTCTCCCAACTTGGAGGAAGTCTGCGAGGGGGGACCCGCGCCGCCCCTTCCCCCGCCCGATATCTTTAATTTTTCCTCCCGGGGGTGGGTGCGGTGTTCTCTGCCCTCCCCCCGGCCCGGCCCGGATTAGGGTCCCGCGGCCCCGGTGTGAGCGCCGGGGCGGGGGTGCGATGGCGGCGGCGGGCGGGGGGAACGGGGACGAGGCGTGGAAAGCTGCCCTCCCTCCGGCTCCCGCAGCGCCGGGAACAATGGCCACGGGCTCCGTGGGGACAATGCCCGGCGGAGCCGAGCTGCTTGGGTTGCAGGACACGTCCACCACCGCCTCGGCCACCCCGGGCCCCGGCCCCCCGCCGCCCCGGGGCCCGCGCCCCCCGC